TGTAAGAGCATGTATTTTTTTTTGGTCAAAAACATCTTTAGAGTAGCCAGCAAAACATTTGCAGGTTACAGATCTAGCTTTTGAGAGTACCTGGGAGATAATTGGTAGCCAGTCCACCAGGGCTCAATGGCTGCTAACTGTTGAGTGCCTAGCTAAACAGCTGATTTAAAGAGCTCAAACGTTCATACTCTGTACACCATAGGAATCTGAACTCTTTCTCTCAAATGTAATATAGTTCCTACCTCCCAGCATGGCCTGTGAGTCCTCAAAGGTGCTTGCCTTGTGGTAACAGTGGACAGAGGATAGGATGAGCACTTTGCCCATAGCCAGACTGGGGCATATCCCACACAGCACCCCCGTGGTGCAGTTTTCACACAGAGTTTTAAACGTATGCCTTAGTAGTAGTGCACACTATGTTTTCGGGGAAATACAAATCTACCAGGTGGATTGTCATAACATGGGGAATTAATCTTTCCTCTAAAAAGCTAGGAAAAGGCTGTGGTTTCCCACGTGTGATGGCCAGCCTTGCTCTGCCTTGACTTCAGAGCCTATGTTCCTATCCCCAACCCTTCAAGTTATTTCCCTAGCCATTCAAATGTTTTTCATTCACACAGCCAACGAAAGTAGGTCGATCTTGCAAGAATCTGGATGGGTGGCCAGCCAGCCCACATGAACAATGTATGATGTTTCTGCCTCTTTCTCTCCTATCCCAGGCCTCCATCATCAAACAGGAAAACAATATCATTATTTTGAGAATGTGGGAGGTTTGGTTGTGTCCAAAGGTTTATTCACTGGTCAATGTTGAAAAGAAACCTGAAGCTTTATTCCTCTGATCCCAGGGAACTGATCTGGTGGTTACATTTGCATCTTCAAAGGGATGGAGAGGTTTTAAAACCAAGAATAAACTCAACCTTGTGCATAAAACTGACGCTTTCTCCTGGAAGTTTTGACAATAGGGAGAAAAAGGAAAAAAATACTCTATTATTTCAAATAAGACGGAATGCCTACATTTCACTTTGCTTTGCTCCTTAGAGTTCTGGTTATCATTATTTACATGGTGGGTTCTGCTTAGAATTCTACTTTATACTCAGTTGAAAGTGTTGTCAAAATTGGAATCATTGTTATAGCTTTGGCTGTGTTTCCCTCCAGTTTTCTGTCTTTCCAACGGCCACTTCAGGGCAGGCTGTTGGCATGAGAAAGATGTGGGCAAGTTTACTTTTGTAATCTCTGTGTTCAGCACAGAGCTCACCAGTGCACACCCTTGTCTATGGCTGTAAAACCATCACCATGACATGTTCTTGGTCCTGATACCTCAGGATGAGGCCTGATGCCAAGGCGAGTTGAGTACATTCAAATTCTCTACCACTGATCACATTATGTATTTCTAAATGTTACATAATGTCTTTTCCTCATTTTAATGCTAAAACTGTAAATAATTATTCCAGACTAGCACAGTGGAAATGGACTTCAAGCTCTTTATATTAAAGAAAAATGTTGGTTTCTGATAAACTTCAATGTGTGTCCAATGTGTTTACTATTTTTTTAAAGCTCCTGTCATGGTTATAATGATCTCTAGTGTAGCAATTTGTAGAAACTACTCTATTTTTAGACTAGGAAGGGGCAAGACAAATGTCTTTGGTTTTTTTGTTTTGTTTTGTTTTGTTTTTTGTTTGTTTGTTTGTTTGTTTTGGCCTGATCCTGGACAGCTCTCATACATTCTTAATTTATGGCTAATTATCTCCTTTTGTTTGATGTCCCTAATTTATATCTTAATCATGTCTGAGTTTGGATAATGAATAATTGTGAATGCCAACAAGATGGAGTTTCTTATCAGTTCTGGAAGTTTTTAGTGGAGAGAGAATGCAGGTGTCATTCTCGTTCTTCCACTTGGTCATTGGTTTTCCAGTAGACTGCCACTGGCCCTCACACACAGTGCTTATCTAATCTCTTTACCTAAAGGCAAGTCAAGAAAGCCATAAAAATCCACTGCTGTTAATTGCTGTAGTAAGAAACATATCAGCTGTTTACTTTTAAATCTCTGAAACAAGTGCCAGGTGAGCATGTTATTAATATTAAATTGAAACTTTGGCTAAGGCTTTCAAGCTTACTTTATGTTTGCCACAATGCTACCATCAAGTGGAAACCGAGTCACAGCCTTTTACCAAAGTCAATGGGAAATAAAGGTCTTTCTTGTGACAGTTTCTAAATGGCGATTTTATTTATGCATGTTTTTCTCACCAGTCGTCCTTTAATTCATGCTTTTGTCCACCACTCCTTCAGGCCTCCTGCTTCTCTGCCTTCCTGTCTCTCCTTGCTCCTTGCTCTCCTGCTGTGACGCAATTTAATCATAGAAAAACAAACACAAAAGAACACCACTGAAATGACAAGTTCTGAGTATTCGTATTAGTGTGGAAATACCTTGTCCAGAATTCTTTATGTGATTTGATGCATCAGAGCTGGCTGGCACATATGCATTGATAATATGTTAGGCCTACGTTTTATGTTTTGTTTTCTTGATAATGATCAGGCTAGAGAGGCTTTATACCTCAGTAAATCTGTGCTGGGGACACTGAGTTTTGGAAAGCAGAGCATGTCTCCTTATACCACTTGCTTCTCTCAAACGTACTTCATTTGAAAGAATTTGTGGGATATTTGTATATATGCTAATTGTCATACATTTTACTTCAGATAGCTCACTGTCGCCAAGAGTTTTATGAGCTTAAGAGAAGCCATGCATGTATTTAACATTATTAAACATCACTTTAAAATTTTCAAACTATTTCTTCTAGAATTTTCATATGGGCATTCATGCTAAATACTGCCTTTGCCCATGTCATTGCTTCTTCAAAGTAGGAATATTTTTCTGAATATATAGACTAAATTTAGCCATTAACTTGGCTTCCCAATGTAGTCTGCCCTTTATGGATTGAACCCACTGTAACGTCCATTCAGAATCATTTGGGAATTTGCTGTGTTGTAAATAACACATGATGTTTTAGGTGGCACATGTTTGTTTCTGTTGAGAGAACATGTCCTATTTTTTTGAGAAAGGAAAGATTTGTAAGACATCAAATGTTTCTTGCAAAACAATTTGATGAAATGAATGTAAATGAGTCAGAAACATGAGAATTGTGTTTCAATTAAAATTAATGAG